CAATGCTCTATCCACTGAGCCAAACCAGCCAGGGCTTTAAAAAATATTTGATTTCAGAGACAAAGGGAGAGAGATTGAAACATCAGTGATGAGAGAGAATCATTGATTGGCTGCCTCCTGCACGCCCTGTACTGGGGGTTGATCCCACAACCCAGGCATGTGCCCTTGACTGGAATTGAACCCAGGACCCTTTGGTCCACAGGCCAATGCTCTATCCACTGAGCTCAAACTGGGTAGGGCCCCAGCTTTTCTTAAAAGAGCTTTTTATTTTTTTACCTATTGATTTTAGAGAAAGAGAGTAAGGGGGAGAGAGAGAGAGAGAGAAACATCTATTTGTTGTTCCTCTTATTTATGCATTAATTGGTTGATTCTTATATGTGCCCTGACTAAAGATTGAACCCACAACCTTGGCGTACCAGGACATACTCTACCCAACTGAGCTATCCAGCCAGGGCAAAAAAGAGCTTTTCTGTAAAGAACTTGCCTCCTAAACTCTAGGCTAGTGTTTCTCAATTGTAAATTGAAGTATATCTAGTGAACGCCACAGCTTCTGGTGTAATAAAAAATACACAGATTTCCCCTACAACAGCTGTGGTTTCTTTGCGTTTCCTCCCTAAGTCAATAACTTTATATCCTTGTGTACCATGACGTCTGTTACTATTTACCACCATGTTAAGTCCTTTCAGAAAATGTTTTAAACATATAATTGAAATAAGAGTTTCGAAGCTGCCTCATTGTATAATTGAAGGGAAAAAATCTCAGTGTGCTGGTCGTCAGGTGCAGAAGGAGCTTGGCACTCTTGACCTCTTTGGGGTTGGGGTGGTCAGTCAGCGTGGGGTCCCAGCCACCCTGTTCTATTGACTTTCCAATCGCAGTGTGATTGATGACTCCCAGGTGCAGGGGACAGTGGCTTCCTGTGGTCACATGACTGTCTGAGAGGGAGGTCGCTTTACTTCTGGCCCTGTCTGAATGCTTCCCTGAGTGTGACTGAAGTGCCGTCTAGGTATTGATCAGCCTCCTACTGGCCCGTTACCAGCAGGGAGATAATGAGGGCTTTAAAGATCTGCTTCCAGACCCCCAATAGAATTATTTTCAGTCTGCGGTATGGGTAGATGAAAGCTGATGTTAGCAATGATTATTGTCTGTTCAGCTATCATATGTAGACAGGTTTTCTAGTTAGGAAGGTAGTTTTTTTATTTTATTCAGTCTTAAACATTTTATCACATTATTTGTACAGAAAAATATTTTATCAGATTTATTAAACAAAAAATCCAATAAATGAAACAGGACTGACTACAAAAGACAAGTGAAGCTTTTTATTCATCTAGTGATTTCTCTTGATAGCAACATGATGAGTCATGTAAAAGCCTTGTCCTGCTGTGATTGCCTCACGTCCTGAATTCAGAACGTGTCATATCATAATGAATATCACTGCTGTAAATGGCTATCTGGTTGTCTGCATGTTTTTCTATAATCTCTCCTTGGCACCCTGTCTTCCCATCATTTGACCATTTGTGGTTGACATTCATCTCCCTGTTTAGGTGATGATATTTGAACTGGCTTACTACGTGCAGTCATTTCTCAACGAACATAACAAGCCCCCACCCAAGTCTTTTCATGAGGAGATGCTGGAAAGGCGGGCTCAGGAGGAGCAGCAGAGGCTGTTAGAGGCCAAGCGGAAAGCGGAGCAGGAGGTGAGATGGTTGTCATCACAGGTGGCCTGCCCCGACGACTGTGAGCTTCTATAGGCTGTGACTGTCTCCACCTACACACCTACATGTTAACACTGTCTCTTAGTGGGGCCCATTAATTGTGTTATTGCTTATCTTCTATTTAATTGTATATCCTCGTTACCATTTAGAATTTAAAGCTCCTTAATGTTATTGTTTTTAGGAAGGCACATTTTATTTATTTTTATTATTTGTTAATGCTCATCTGAGGATATTTTTCCATTGATTTTTAGAAAGAGTGGAAGGGAGAGGGAGAGACAGAGAGAAACATTGATGTAAGAGAGACACATCAGTTGGTTGCCTCCCGCATGTGCCCCAACCTACTAAGGGCCAGAGATAGAGCCTGATACCAATGTATGTACCATTGGCCAGGAATAGAACCTGCAACCCTTCAGTCTGAGGGCCAACACTCTAACCACTGAACAAAACCAGCCAGTGCTGGCAGGGAAGTTTTTAACAGATGAAAAAATTAGGGCACAGAATCCTATATAATAAAAGCCTAATATGCAAATAGACCAAACGGTGGAA